GTGTTTATTAACTTACTGTTTTCTTTTTTCATTATTGTCCCGTTAAAGGGCCTTTTTAGAATTTTTTGTTGTCTACCTCCTGAGACCCAGGGGACAGATCATAGTGTTGTGCTTTGAAGGGTAAGAAACTTTTAATTTATTATTTTAAGATCTTTTTACCTTTTGGGTGTAATATTACTCCAGTTAAGAATATATGATCTAGGGGCACCTGGGTGGCTCAATCATTGGGTGTCTGCCTTCAGCTCCGGTCATGATCCCAGGATCCTGGGATTAAGCATTGGGCTCCCTGCTTGGCAGGAAACCTGTTTCTCCCTCTCCCACTCCCCCTGCTTCTTCTTCTTCTTCTTTTTTTTTTTTTTTCAAAGATTTTATTTATTTATTTGACAGACAGAGATCACAAGGAGACAAAGGCAGCAGAGAAAGAGAGGGGGAAGCAGGCTCCCCACTGAGCAGAGAGCCCGATGTGGGGCTCGATCCCAGGGCCTGGAGATCATAACCTGAGCCGAAGGCAGAGGCTTTAACCCACTGAGCCACCCAGGCACCCCTCACTCCCCTTGCTTCTGTTCCCTCTCTTGCTGTGTCTGTCTCTGTCAAATAAATAAATAGAATCTTTAAAAAAGGAATATATGATCTAAAGTTTTGATCCTATTTTGACTCTTTTCAACAAGAATATTTTATAAGTAGTACTATGTATTACATATTACCTCAGGGGGTACTTAATATTTTGTTGTCTCACTTTTGGAGGTGCTAAGATTGATTAGTGCTAAGAACTCATAAGTTCACATGCAGTTGGTAACCCTATGATCCATTGTGAAATTTACTATTCCTTTTTTCCCTAATTGTTTCAAATCTATTAATGATTATTGTCCATCTGTGTCATTTCTTTTGTTCTTATTAGCTGAAATTCTTTGAAGGACTAGCCCTCTCACTATTAGGTCTCTTTGGCTACCTTGAGATATGGTATCTCTTTGAATAGCTTTTTTGTCATTGCTCTAGGTACTGTTTTATGTATACATAATTTATCATAGCCTGCTGGTTCTTAAGTCTCTTTATCCCCCCTCCATTTCTAATATATTGCCTTTTTTTTCCTGCATTTTGAGAACCATACCACACAGTGTCATCATTTTTGCGTAAGCCATTAAAAATAATATAAGAGAAGAAGAATATAAGAGAAGGAAAGTCTGTTGTATTTATCCATTTTCTATTCTTACCATCCTTCCTGATTTTCCAATATTTAAAATTAATGTTGTAGTCTTTTATTTTTGTTAATTGATATTTAAAATGGTACTTTTCTGATAGAAGGGTAATGAAAATGCTTTTAATATTATGGTGAGAAATGTTAATGTTTCTAATCATTTTAACTTTAATTGTTAATAAGAATTACTGGCCATGATTGGATGGTTTTATAAAATCACACTGGAAATAGAGGGTAATAAAAGTACCTACATCATAGGGCTATTATGAGGATTGAGTTAGTTAATACATATGTAAATGTATTTTCTGTCTGAAGGACCTCCTTTAGCTATTATGCTAGGGTAGTTTTACTGGTGACAGATTTTCTTTGGTTGCCTTCATTTGTGGATGTTTTAATTTCCCTCTCTTTCCTGAAGAATATTTTGTCTGGATACAGGATTCTGGATTGGTAGTCCTTTTTTTTTTTCCAGCACTTGAAAAGTGTTTCTGGGCACCAAAAATATGAATGTAAATTGAAATTTTTAATGTTTACTAACTGTGACCATAGTGGTCTAAGTGTTAAAGAATTTTCTCCTAAATTATAATTACTATGAGTATAACATAAATATATTCTTGGTTTTGTTTATTAAGTTGTTCTTAAACATAAACGCATCTCTTTAGAGCAGACTGCTCTTTTCATGGAATTTATGTATCCATGGATGAATATTACTTATGTTAGAATAAGACTGGTTTTTGTGGAAATTAATAATAAAAAGAAATATTAGGCCATTAGTATGAGGTTTACAAAAGATTATTGGTAACTTTTTGTTAAGTATATCATTTATAGTAGAATATATAGCATATTCCTGATAAATTAATCTGTATCTCCTAAGTTCACATAGGGATGAAAAACTGGGCAAAGAATTGGTTGATATGTGGACAGCATGATGGCTTTGTCCAGGTTAGAAAAAAATACGGATTCACTGTGTCCAGTATTCTTTTAACAAAAGTTAATAAAAATGTTTCTCAATAAAAAAATGTAAAACACTAACTTTAGTGTTTGCTACTTTCACTTGGAAAGATGCTATTGATTTGACAGTAAGAGCTCTCTCTCTCTCTCTCTCTCTCTCTCTTTCTTTCTTTCCTTTTTTTTTTTTGTAAGTGCTCTTTTCAACTGATTAAAACCATGCACAGTATCTTCAATTCACAGACGTAAGACACAGGTGACTGTTGTTTTTTTTGAGAATGGTTGAAAGTACAGATGTTGAATTCTAATTCAAGATGCTTTCCGGATCTTAGATTCTAAATAATTCTAGATAAGTTATATAAGGACTCTAGTCATACTGTTTTTACCTGGATGAACTAAATTATAGCACTTTTCAATATTTATCATCACTGTTTTCATTGGATTCTCTCTCATGTGAGCTTTCTTAATCAAAAGTTTTTCTTATTCTCGCCTCCCAAAGTTGTAGCAACCCATTTGGGCCAAAATATCTCCTTTTTAATATCAGGTATTATTGTTAACAGAAGTGTAAGGAATAGGGAAAAACAAAACCACCTTAGATATATGGTGCTTCCATTAAGTGTTCCCCTGATACCAATATTTCAAATTTGGTGTTTTGGATGTTTTTTAGCAATTCGAGGAGATGCATTGTAGTGAGATGTTAGATGTGTGAGAGATACATCTTTTGTGAACTGCAAGAAGGAGGATTATTAAATGTATAGTGTAGGGAATGTAGAGTGTAGGAAAGGAGAAAGGAGTATAATGCTCTGACCTTGGTATTAATTCTAGTAATTGGTTGATAACTCTGGAAATTAAGGATATGGAAGTTGATTCTTCTAAAACCATCTGGTCCCCAGTGTGAAGTTTGCTGGATTAAGGTTTAATCTTTCGTCACTAGATTATAGTCTTGAATCTGATGCTGCAAAATATTCATATACTTTTTATTTTCATTACTGTTAATTTCCTTAAGGACCTTCATCACTGTGCACTAATTACTACTATTTCTCTCTGCTCTCTTTGAGGGAGGATTCTTTTTCATTCTTCCTGAATATACTGCTCAGTGGAACAGTTTCTTATTCTTTCTCTTCCTCTTTTAACATTTGTATATTTTGGCTCACAATCTGCTCCCTCAAGTTTTGATTCTCTTCTGTTGCATCAGATTTTGTCTATGTGATGTTGGTTCTTCATTCAAAAAAACTTAGGACCCCCCCCCCCCCCAAAAAAACCTAAAAAACTTAGTATATGTTACAAAAATGTAATTGCCCAGGAGTATCAAACATCATTGTATTTCAGTGCCTAAAACTCCATGAGGCCAGGAATGTGGTGTGTTTTTCTTATCAGAACAGACCATAGTGAGCGAATGAATAAGGAGAACAGGATTTTCCAGATTCTTTCCTTAATAGAACTGCTAGTTTTTTAAAAAAATTAACCGAATTAATGTTGTAGTCTTTTATTTTTGTTAATTGATATTTAAAATGGTACTTTTCTGGTAGAAGGGTAATGAAAATACTTTTAATATTGTGGTGAGAAATATTAATGTTTCTAATCATTTTAATTTTAATTGTTAATAAGAATTACTGGTCATGATGGGATGGTTTTATAAAATCACACTGGAAATAGAGGGTAATAAAAGTACCTACCTTATAGGGATATTATGAGGATTGAGTTAGTTAATACATATGTAAAGCACTTATAGCAGGGCTTCACACATAGTAAAGTGCTTGGTAATTGTTAGTAACTGAGAAGGATGCTGGAGACTGACTTCTTTGCCATCATTCTGCAGGAGGGTTTTTTTTTTTTTTTTAAGATTTTATTTATTTATTTATTTGATAGATCTTACAAGTAGTCACAGAGGCAGGCAGGCAGGGAGAGAGGAGGAAGCAGGCTCCCCTCTGAGGGGAGAGCCCCATGTGGGGCTTGATCCCAGGACCCTGAGACCATGACCTGAGCCGAAGGCAGAGGCTTTAACCCACTGAGCCACCCAGATGCCCCATGCAAGAGGATTTCTTGATGGTTAGTTGTCCATTTCATTCATAGGGAGGCAGGCAATTGGCCCAAGGCAGTCTTCCCTCAGGCCCTTGCAAAAGCCCCCTAAAAGAATCATCCTTCACAAGCATTTTTTCCTCAGCTTCCTTCCAAGGGCCCACTCTGAACCCTCGAGGCTAGTGGGTTGAAAAGAACTTAAGAATGGGCAGTATATCCCAGTCTGGTGATGAAGGTTTTAAATGGGCTCTGCCTTTTACCCCTTTGTGACTCTGTGACTTGGGGCAAATTTCTTCGCCTATTTCCTATCTTATCTGTCTCACCTCCAAGAATGTTATTTTTATCTCCTTTCTTACTCTGAGCAGCCACATTGCACTTATTTTACTTCTACACAAATGCCGACTTCTCTCTTGTATCTGGCCCTTTGAACCTGCTGTTCACTTTGGATGAAACACTTTCTCTTCCCTCCTGCCTTTCTTTATCTGGCCAGATCCTGTTCATGCTTCCATTAAATGCTTCTCCTTTAGGAGGCCGTTCCTAACCAATTCTCACCAGACTGGTTTGTTTTTCTGCCATACCTTCCCCTCACAACATCATGATTCTTAAAGCCTTTCATCCCATTTGGAGTTGCCCTACATAGTGAGCTCCCACAGGGGTTGATGGGATCTGACATGTTCATTGCTGCATCCCCAGTTCCTGGCACATAGGAGGCCCCAATTAATGCTGTATACATGCATGGGAAAGAAAAATACTAGAGATATTTTTGCTTAGGCTTTGGCTAACATTATCTCCACAGCTGCCCTTGTTTTACAGTATTTTTATTTTATTTTTTCCTGTAAAGCCGCTGAAACTTAGAAGCTGATTCTGTCACAGTGTAAGATGTGTTTGGAACATTCTGCATTCTTCTTAGATGAATTTTTAGAACCTGGTGAGTTTCACTAGATACCTTCAGTTTTCGTTTTGAGCTCTGAGGTATGCTGTATTTTTTTCTTTTTTCTGTGTAATCCATAATTGTTGGTTATAGTAAGGTATACGATCACCTGGCAAGAAGCATAGGACAAAGTATTATAAGAATATTTAGAGCATGATCTCCTACTTGTTTTGATAGCCTTAATTTATATTTAGAATTTTGGAAAAGAAAATCTCAAAAGAATACTATTTTGTGAAGTGAAAATGATATGAAATTCAAATTTCAGCATCTGTGAATAAAGCTTTATTGGAACACAGCCCCTCTTTTTTTTTTTTTAACATAGTGTGTATGGCTGTTTTCATGCTCTAGTGGCAGAGTTGATTTAAGTACAGTGGTTGCATTAGAAACCCTAGGGCCCAGAAATCCAAGAGTATTTACTATGTAGCCCTTTTCAGAATACGTTAACTGACCTCTGCTCTTCATGGTTGGAGAAGTACTTATAGGTTGAGTGTTAGTAGGTTTATTTTCAAAATAGGGAAAAATAATACCTTTTCTATCTGAAACCAGGGTGTTGGGTTTACTAAATTGTAAGTTTCCTAAGGGTAAATACTGTGCCTGTTTTTTAAACAATGGATGCCACCATGGCTATTGTAGGCCTGACACATGGTTGGCACAAAGTCAGTGTTGAGTGAAAGAATAAGATCTTTTGTAGCTCTAGTACCTATTTTATGTATGTATGATCACAATAATTCTAGTTTCTTTAAAGGTTTGCTTATTGGGAGTGGGTGTTTTTTGTTGACTGTAGGAGAGAATTTAAAAAAACAAAACAAAACAAAACTGGGGCGCCTGGGTGGCTCAGTGGGTTAAAGCCTCTGCCTTTGGCTCGGGTCATGATTCCAGGGTCCTGGGATCGAGCCCCGCATCGGGCTCTCTGCTCAGCAGGGAGCCTGCTTCCTCCTCTCTCTCTCTGCTTCTCTGCCTACTTGTGATCTCTGTCTGTCAAAATAAATAAATAAAATCTTAAAACAAAACAAAACAAAAACTATAGGAGAGAATTTTGATGAAAACAGTAATTTTCTCTGGATCTGTTCTTTACAGATAGCCATGAAATCATTGGCTAGATTTATTTGTCTAAGTTGTTTATAAATTGTTACTTTTTAAAATAAACTATTAATCCAGAAATTACCAATCTCAAAGAAACTTAGAAGCCTTCTTCTTATAAAGCTTTAAAATGTATGTGTGTAAATACATAAATAAATAAATTATATATATATGTTTTATATATATATTAAAAGCTGCTCTTGGATAGGAAGATTCATATATTCTCATCTTAAGTCGTCTGAAACTTCCCCAACTTATCCATCGAATCTCTTTTTTTAATGAACCTTCCCTGTATAGTTTGCTCAAGAACCCAGCTTTTAAAGCATTATCCTGCCCAACACCTTGTTAATGATGAGATAGTTTAAGGGGCATTTAGTGGAGGAAAACTGTTCCATATTAAAGGATTCTAGGGAGATCGGACAGCTAAGTGCAGTCATTACATGACTCTGGACTGGATCCTGTGTTGGAGGAGGAAGAAAGAGAACTTCATTTGGTCAGTTAAAAAAAAAAAAAAAGAAAGGAAAATAGACATTAAATTAAAATTTTGTGTAATTGTTAAATTTCCTGAAGTTAGTAACTATATTATGGCTATTTAAAGGAATGTCTTTGTTCTTAAGAGGCATATGTTCACATATTTAGGGGTAAAAGGTATGATAGATACAACCTATTCTCAAATGGTTCAGCAAATGTTTATCTATATATGTTGAGAAAAATGATGCGAATGTTAATTGATCAGTCTGGATAAAATATACATAGAAATTCTTTGAACTATTTGTGCACTTTTCTGGAAGTTTGAAGGTATTTCCAAGTAAAAAGTTTAAAGAAATGACATTAGCAGTTACCAAAAACCTAGAGATTATGTCCAAATACTGTTACTTTTAAATTATTTACTTTGATTAAAAATATACTTTACAGTGTTTGTGCTTTTTTCAAAATGCTTTCCACACATACTCTGTGTACATGGTGCTACTATTCTGAACAATATTTTTTATTGGGTGTTTTATGCTTAATTTGTGGTTGTAAGTGCAGATACTCTTCTGTGATTCTTTATTAGATTTAATAAGTTTGACTTATAAATAGTCTATAAAATTTAGTTATTTTATAGTAATGTGGAGATGAAATAGAAGTTAGCAAATGTAAAACTGCTATGCAAAGATGAAGTCTTTATATTAGCAGTATTCTTGCTGATTATCTCATCAGTTTTTTTAATCATAAAGTCATAGTTAAATACCAATTAGTAGAATTTAGAACTTGAAAAATTTTAGGTATAATGTGTTAAATTTTGTTCTATCTGCTACTTTGCTTTAATATAATGTCCACTTAGCTTGTTTTATTAAAAGTCTATTGTGTCCCTTAACGCCATAGAGCAGCTTTGTTTTTAAAAGTAGATCTGGTTTTACTGTCTTATATTTATTATATTTGACCTTAAATTTATTATATTTTGAAGGAAATTCAAGAGTAAGGATCTACTATAGTGGTTCTTATACTGCTACTAATAATTGATGACCTTTTTGAGCTTTTTATTTTAGTGCCAGACATTATATTCTAAGCATGCTACATTTAGTAATTTATTTCATTTTCACAACAGCCTTATGCTAACACCTTGCCTTGATTTGCTATGCAATTCTAGTTAAAACTGCTGCTAAGCTTCAGAAGCCTTAAATTTCTTACTTTTTTTTTTCCCCCCACCAAATACAAATTATGGGAAGTAGGGATCTGGAGTTAATATAGAAAAATTGATCAATAGGGGCACCTGGGTGGTTCCGTCAGTTGGGCGTCCATGTCTTGGTTTCTGCTTGGATCACAGTCTCAGGGTTCTGGGATTGAGCCCAGCATTGGGCTCCGTGCTCCACAAGGAGTCTGCTTGAGAATTCTTTCCCCATCTCCCTCTGCTCCTCCCTCTACTTGCACACACACATTGTCTCTGAAGGAAAAAAAAAGTCGTCTTACAATTTTTAGGTTGTAAATAATGGGATGGGTCTAACTTCAACCTAGACCTTCTGTTGCCTTCATAATTTGGGAAAGATCAGTATATCAAGATCATTCTTCAGTAACTGTACTGATAAAGGAAGTAAATACGTCTTTTAATAGCCAATTAAGAAGCAAACTGATGTAGAAATCTTGTTTTCCTAGACTTGAATTTTACCAAGTAAAACAACCAAAAAGTTAAAAATTTAAAAATTAAGGGACTGATACAGTATTGCTAACTTTTAAAACTTTTTGCATTGAATTAAACCATGCTTTTTATAAAGTGGATAAATCTTGAGTATCCTTTGGATTAAATTTTATGAAGTCAACACTCGTTTAACCAAGATCAAGATATAGAATATTTTCATCAACCTAGGAGCCTCCTTCATGCCCCCTGACAGTCAACACACATTTCCAAAGGTAACTATTATTCTGACTTCATTTACTATTCATTAGTATTGTCTGTTGTTAAACATCTTTTGACTATCTTTTTTGATCAACATCTTGTTTATGAGTCACCTATGTTGATTCACACAACATTAACTTATTCTTTTGCATTGCTTTGTAATACTTCATTGTATATTGCCTCAGTTTATCCATTCTACTGTTGATGAACATTTGGATCATTATCAATTTTTAGCTATTATAAACAATGTTGCTGTGGATATTCTTGAGCATGTCTTTTGGTGCACATATGCATGCATTTTTTTTTTTTTTTTGAGTAAATATCTAAGAGTGAAATTGTTGATCACGGTATTTCACTGTTGTGCTTTAATAGGTGCCCCTAGCTTTTGAAAATGGTTGGAATTCTTTGTACCTACCAACAGTGTACAAGGGTACAGTGAACAGGCTTCTCATTGCTCTACATCCTCACCAGCACTTAAAATTATTAGTGTTTTTTAATATTAGCTTCTTTGCCATATATGCGGTGAAAAAATTATTGGAGTTTTAATTTGAAATTCCCTGCTGTCTTTAAGGATTTAGCACATGTTTGTATGCTGTTGACCATTTGGATATCCTCTTTTGAGAAATGCCTTTTCATGTCATTTGACCATTTTTCTGTTGAGTTGTTTATCTTATGGATTGGTAGGAGTTCCTTATTTCTAGGGTAAGTTTTTTGTTGGATTAAGTATTGAAGATATGTATCCTACTTTTTTACTCTTTTAACAGTGTATCTTTATTTTTAAAAGTTTTTTTTTTTTTTTTTTTTTGATAGAGCACAAGTAGGCAGAGTGGCAGACAGGAGGGCAGGCAGAGGGAGGGAGAAGCAGGCTCCCTGCTGAGCAGAGAGCCTGATGCAGGACTTGATCCCAGCACTCTGGGATCATGACCTGAGCCAAAGGCAGACACTTAACCGACTGAGCCACCCAGGTGCCTCAGTAGTGTGTCTTTATTAAGAAAATTTCTTAAATTTAATAAAATTCATTTTACCAAATAGTTCTTTTATGGTTTGTGCTTTTTGTGTTTTAAGAAATCTTTTTCTATCCCAAAGCCAAGAAGGTATTCTTGTATGTTCTCTCTTACAAACTTGATTGTTTTAACCTTTACACTTAGGTTTAGGCATGGCATATGGTAAGGTTCCTGGTTCATTTTATTTTCCATATGGAAACCCATTTTGTCAAACATTATTTGTCGAAGAAAAGATTATCCTTTCCCTATGGTAAGGCCCTAGTGCCTTTGTTGCAATTCAGATGGGTATTTATTCGTGGGTCTGTTTTTGGGCTCTTCTGTTCCATTGGGCTGTTGTTGTACCAGTGCCATACTCTTCTAATTACTGTAGCTTTAAATTCTCCAATTATGTTCTTCACAATTGCCTTGGTTTTTATTGGTCTTTTGAATCTCAATAAAAATTTTATAGTCAACCTGTCAATTTCCTAAATAGATAAATAACCTTCTTTATAGCAAGCAAGTTTTTAAAAAAAGCAACTTTAATATTATTTATTTAATAT